ACGTCTGGGTGTTCTACCTGTGCTTACATAGATCAGTGACAACGGCCCAGATTTCTCTTCCAGGCTGATTGCAAAGACATACTTTAGCTGGGAAACCAGCACATGGACAGCAGCAGCTGTGGTGTAGCCTCGCACCAAGGGCTCCGAAAGATAGGTGGCCACAAATCCAAACTGCAGCAGGCCAAGGGCAACCTAAAAACAGATCATTGGTGAAGTTATACCTGCTGAAACCAAAACTCTCCCAGGATTTTCTAGCACTTTTTTTTTAAAGTCATCAGTCCAGAGAGCTAATGACCCAGAAAGCAGAACAAATGCTTAACTATTGCTAAGCAGGAAAGCCCAACTTTCAATAATTTGGAAGCCATTGCGCTCCCTGGGATCAAGCTATTTTTAAAATTCAGTTACAGACTGTTTATTTAGCGGGAAGCACCTACCCAGTCACTCACAATGGGCAATCAGCAGCCCTTAGAACACACACTTATTAACTATGCAGGAGATGGCATTTTTCACTTCTTACTATTCTCTGCATATGCACCCTACAGCCTCCCTGTTCCTTCTTCTCTTTTATTCCTATTGACTCCCTCATCTTTTGTTAATTTGCTCTGCAAATAGCTGCCTTCCAACATATCCATGCCACTGTCTACATTAACTACAGCTACCTCATCCTGCCTAATAACAGTAAGATCAACACTAAAGCATATTCAATATTTCTTACTTTCAGATTTTAGATGTTGATTCAGCTTACACAACCAGGTTTTTACTGCATGTTTTATCTCCCTCTTACCTGGAACAGACCCATTAAGCAGGTGACTGCAGCTACCAGCTCAACTCGGGCTGCATCCCTCCGGGTCTCATTGACAAATGTTTTATTGGTGCCAATGATCACTTCCAGATATTTTCCATTTGGTTCTAGTGACTCTGTCATACTTCCCAACATCACAGAAATGACAGCAAATGGACCTGTGGGAAGACATCCGAGGTTTGAGAGAACCTTTTTAATCTCTTCTTCTGATTCAAAAGATTTTGGAAAGGATGTCCATTTTCCTCGACCATGTTAATAACCATAATATGATACAACAGGCATATATCCATTGGGCGAATAAATAAATCTGTGCTGCAAAATGTGTTAATAGAGATGTGGTATCCAGTGTTATGTTTAGGTACTGCCAAATTTAAAGGGGGGGGAAACAAAGCACTTTGAAGGTTCTGCTGCTTCATCTTCCTTCTGTGCTATCATTTGTTTCAACCTCCCCTCCCTCCCTTCTTCTTCCTGATGTTGCTGGCTCTCCTCACTTTCCCTCTACTGCTCTTCTCCTTGCAAAACTTTTTCTGCTTAACTTGGAAAAAGTACTGTGCCAGCCAATTGAAAAATGCAGCACATTTTAAAAATGGAGTCTAAAAAGGATGTCTGTGCAGTTACGGTTTCCAGTTGTTCAAATAAGTGCTTTCTTTGATAGTCTTTCCACAAATCTTTTGGGGGCTTCCCAAACATATGAATTCTAGTTCTATGACTCGTCACTGGTGGTGCCATTGGTGTTCTGCCTCTAGTAAATGTGATCCCATCAGGCATGTAAATTAGCATTCTCTGCTTACCAACAGAGATGTGTCTGGATGTCCCAAATATGAAATACAGCAGAACTGGATAGAAGGCTGAATACAAACCATGGACTGGAGGCAGCCCTGCTAGGAGTGCATATGCCAAACCTTGGAGAAATAGAAGTGGAAGTTACCACACATGTCATTAACACTTCATTTCTATTTCACTTATTCCAGTTTTATTCACCCATCAAGCATTTATGTGGGAAATGTTTATGGCCTCCTCCTGTAATTTCCCACCAACTTGCTAATGTGTCTCAAATACTTTGGACAAGACTAGGCAATACTGCCTTTCCAGATGTTTGAACCACAATTCTCATAAGCCCCAGATCAACACACCTTATATCTGCATTAAATACGTTTTTTTGTCAAGGGTTTTTCCCTTAAGCAACTCAGTTCCATTCTTTCAAAGCATAATGACGCAAAAGCCAAGACAGATTTTCAGTAGGTTTTCCTACAGCGAAAGTGGACATTCTCCCAGGATAATGAGCTACAATTTGATTCTATAACCACCTGGGAAGCTACAGGTGCCCTTACCAGAAGAGTAAGGAAGGTTGGGACTTCCAGGTTTATCAGGTTCCTAGATCTGATGTGATTAATTGTAGAAATGAGAACAGAAAGCATCTGGAAAGCAAATTGCCCTTATTTTCATCCTTAAAACCTCTTCCAAATAGCCCAAATCTCAATGTGGAAATTTAGAAGTAATTCAGGTTTTGATAGTAGACATTTAAGTCACTGTGGAGAAAAAGCAAGAGGGCATGATGTGCGAAGGTTTGTGTCCAGAGGCTTCCTACAATTTCTATAAAAACCAAGCTACGTTCATCCTGCTGAAGTCAATCATATTGTTATTGAATTTTGACAGGGAAATTCGGCAGGGCCAGGCTACAGCTTTCCAACTTCTTTTCTGTGCCTATTTCTACTTAGTATTCATTGATTACTATAGCTTTAGCATCAAAAATTATTTCGGAAAGTCCATTCCAGAGGAAGAGAATACATCAGTCAGAGAATTCCAACTGGCAGGATCAAGGAAGAGGGCCTTCTCTGCCACCGCCCCTTCTTTGTGGGACATCTGGCCACCAAAGGCAAGGAAACCCCCCAATTTTCTAACCTTTTGCAAAGGGGTCAGAACCTGGCTGTACAGCCTTGCATGGGGGACCACACAGCCATGGGGTTGGCTGGACCCATGAGAACCCCCCCCCCCCACACACACACACCTGTATTAACAACTGCTAAGCCCCCATCTTGGAATTTTGTAATTTTATAATGGTATTTGTATAATTCTAAACTTTTTAATCTTAAATTATTCTGATCTGAATGTTAATTTTATTGATTATATTGTACACTGCCCAGAACCTCTCTCTGATAAATAAATAAGCAAAAAGGGGCCATATCAGGTTAGGGGAGCACGCACACGCTATTTACAAGCTTGTGGGTGCTCCGGTCCTCAGGTCTCCACTCGGTTCCCGGGAGACTCAGACCCTCCGGCCCGGGACCTTCGGCTGATGCTATGTAATGCCAGGTCCGTGGTAAATAAGGCCCCCCTCATACAAGATCTTATTTTGGAGGGGGGCGCGGACCTGGCAG